CCAAGGCTCACTGTGGGGAGCTGGACCCCAGACCTTTGCTAATTTGGAAAGATAATGTTCTCATCTGGGAAGAAACCTACCTCCATCCATCTAGGGGTTATCATATAGGAATTCTTATTTTGTCAGCATCATTTTTAATTATTCAGTAAAGTTCAAGCATTTCATAATCATATTCAGAATGACCCTTCTTCAAAGCATTTCCACTTCCACCTGTTCTCGAGGTCCTTCAAAACATCACGACTGTGGCAGAGTGCTGAACCCCTAATACCTCAGACTGATTCGTTTTTAAGAAACCTCTCAGGAAGAAGTTCTGTCACTTCTCAGTGTTCTGCCAACATTTAACCACATGCACTGTCATAAAAGTGTTTCTTACACAGAACGTAATTCTATTCCTCTGAGGCGTTCACTGGGGCAGAGTCCCACCTCACACTCATAAACTCCCAGAAGGGTGATTATTTATTAAGAACTTGCTCTGTACCACATGCCGTGAGAAAAGCTTTCCCCAGTGTCTTGTTTAAGCCTCATCTTGTGATTACAAATTAAGTGCTCTTCTTGTTTTCATTTCACAGAAGACAAAACTGAGCTTACAGAGGTGGACTTTGCCCCAGATCTCCCCAGGCAGAAAGGCAGGAGCTGGAGTGGACGTGATGCCCTTCCCAGTCATAACTACGAGCCACATAACTGGGTATAACACCTAAGTACTGCCCTGACTATTCCTAAATCCTAGAAATTTCTAGGCCTACAAATACGTACAAATTGACCACGGCTCAGGTTGCGAATGCCAGGCTTCGTGAAGGTAAAAGAGCAATACGTACTCTGAAGAACCCACATTCAAAAATTTGAATTTTGCTTCTTCCTAATGCTAGGCAGCAGTGCCAGCCTGCAGCTCCCCATCACCCATGAGGTCTCAGATGCCCTGCAGGTCCCTATGGTGCTGCGCCTTACGGTGACCAGGGTGTGCAGGGTACCGTGTCATTTATCAGGGTGGTGTCACTTATTCAGCAGGTTTATCAGGGTGCAGTCCCATCACCCACCACTGAGCATCTGTCACTGCAATCTCATTTTTTGGACCAAGCATCTCAATCCTGAAACCCTCTCAACAGTTTCCAAATCCACTTAATGGGAAAACATTAATTAAACTTCCTAATAAGAAACATCTTATGGATCTTAACTTCTGTATTCCTATTTGAGGGTCCTGATTCCATTAACTTATTGGCAACAGTGTCCTCTTGCTGCCTCATCTGCTAATAACCTCCAAAGCTCTTCTAAGGACACAAGCTGGTACCGAATGCTCCCAGCGCAGAGAGCCAATGCCACTCTTCTTTGGCACTTGGTGAGTGATATTCTCAAACAGAACTAAATATTGCACTCATATGCACAAATGTGTTAAGTCACCACCTTAGCAACAACAGAAAATTGGCTGGATCCAATTTAATGTAATTATTACAATTTTACATCAAATACTTTATGTCAAATATGAAATTATAAAACAAGAAAGGTGCAAAAACAAAGTCAACATTCTGTCACATAAATATTTTTCATGACAAATTAAAATAGTAAATCAATTACATTTTGAGTGGCATTTTCTTTTACACTTAGATCACCGGGAATCCATAGCTTCTGACCCAAACACACACACACACAGTGGCTTGTAACTCCTGGGGGTATGTGGCACGCATTCTGAGCGCATGGATATTGCTGGTCTTTACCACTTTCCTCATGTCTTAGTCATACACACTTGGCTCCCAAAAAAACCATAAAATATTGATGGAAATTACTAGACCTACAAATACAGCAGTGGACTTAAATCTTTTACCAGTGTGACGAGTGAGTACCAGAAGTAGCTTTATGCACTCAGCCTCCCACAGAATCTTCATTCATTCATTCACAGTTCAGTCAACAGTTATTACCTCAAACTGAAGCCATCTAATTCACTAAAGGAATCAGAGACCCTTGTGAGAATGATCTGTGGTCTTCCACTGACCTCATCAGCCACCAAAGTTCTCTTTAGCTCCCAACCCAGCCCAATTTCAAGTCAGCAGAGGAAAGCATAGTGTCCAAAGACTTGCTGACTATTACAAGGAACAAGAGACAAGGAAGGAAAGAGTCCTAGGTCAGTGACATTGTCAACATTCTGAATATCCCCAGAATTGTCAAAATGTCTCTGTGAGACACACAAAAGCCTTGATATTTTGCAGACACAAATTTCAACCAGTGGTCAATGTAGTATTTATACTTATTCTTTTTTCTTTCCTCTTCCAACTTTTATACCTGAAACAAAAGTTTCAAATTCTGTAAAATGTGTTTTGTCACATCCCACATTACAAGATTTCACATAGCAAACAGAAGGAACATTCATCCCAAGTAACTTTGGACAACCAAATTGAGTTACACAGGAGCATTTGAGCACTTGGGGGCGGGAAAGGATTAGATGTGCAAAGCCTTCCCTTCTGAACCGTGCTCTCAGCCTCAGAGCTCTGAAGGCCTGATTCCTGCACACTGGCTATTGCCACTCTGAGCAGGAGGCTCCCTGGGAGGACTGCCACCACCAAGACTTTCAAGCACTGCTTAGAAAGGCATAGGCGTTTCTGGGTCTTCTATCAAAGCCTCCCCTGGTCTTGAAAGAATTCTGTTGAAGTTGGGGAATCTTTACCCTTAGACTATAGTGTACAGAATTCTGCTAGCTCTCTGGTATAGTTTATTCTTAGGTGTCCCCTCAAAGCCTCAGGTGCCCTTAAGTGGGGCTTTGGGAAACAGGTTGGACCATAGGTATGTGGTACTGGACTATGGGCACGATGACCGGGTTAATTTACTGAGTGATTAGGCACAGTTCTGGGTGTAGGTGATGGGAAGGCCACCCTGGGCACAGGCAGCACTGGCCCACAGGCTTGTGGCCTGGATGGAATAACAAGGGACAGGAACATTGATGGCTGGCTTCGTGCTTCTTCATGCCTGCTCTCCATGGACCATTTCTCCTCTGCCATCCTGCCCTACCGCGGAATGCTGCAGCCAGCCATGGACTGAAACCTCTATAAACTATGATAAGCTACAAGCCTTCCCTCGCTTACTTTGGGGGTGTCGGATATTTTGTTCAGCAATGAAAAAGTAATCAAGACACGCTCTGAGGATGCCCGAAAGAGCAGACACACAGAAGGGTCTCTGGGCCACTCCTGCTGAACCTATAAATCTGTCTCTCGGGCAAGGCATGCTGCTTAAGATGCTTGTTCTACTCAAATGAGGATGGGAATACGTACCTGAATGCTCACCCTTTTAATAGTATTTAAAAAAGGTGTTTTCAGTTTATTAGATTTACATTTTTTTCAGAAATGACCTGTGGTTCAGTTTCTCTATTACCAGAATTCTAGGTATTTTCATAACTCATGCTTGGATAGATATTATTCTAAATTAAAACAATGGTGATAAAAACTCCCACTGCACACAAGTAAAAATAGCCACGCTTATTCCCTAGAACTAGATTCTCCAACAAATCAACTTCTGAAGCTTCGGCTCAGAAAGAACATTGACCAGTTTAAATGATAGTGATAATAAGAATACTCGGGTCACAGAGAACCATGCACTTCAGCGCTTTCTTATGTATTTAGTACAGGGTCTCACTACACAGATTGGACTCTGTGATCTTCCTGTTCTTGGCCTCCCAAGCCCTGGGATTACAGGCGCATGCCACCATACCTAGTCTCAATCGCTGTCTCAGCGCACGCCAGGGGTGGGGCCTGCACAGCATGCCAGGGATCAAACCCCAGTCCCTGCGCTTACCTAAGCAGGTGCCTTAGTCTGCTGAGCTATATGCTCTTTTCTTGAAAGCCACCTTTCCTACTTAAATTTAGCCAAAGCATTAGGA